GCCCTTGTCCTCCTGGGGGACTTCAACCATCTTGTTATCTGCTGGAGGGATGGGACGGCCCAGCACAAGCAATCCAGGAGGTTCCTCGATTGCATGGAGACAAGGAGAGGTGCCATGCTTGACCTCGTGCTCACCAACAGGGAAGGACTGGTTGGGAATGTGACGCTCCAGGACAGCCTTGGCTGTAGCAACCATGCGATGGTTGAGTTTGAGATCCTCAGGACAATGAGAAGAGCATGCAGCAAGCTCACTGCCCTGGACTTCAAGAGAGCAGACTTTGGCCTCTTCAGGAACCTGCTTAGTAAGGTTCCATGGGATATAGTTCTAGAAGGCTGGCGGGGCCAAGACTGCTGGTTGATATTCAAGGATCACCTGCTACAGGCGCAGAAGCGTTGTGTCCCGACTATAAGGAAGTGCGGCAGGAGGGCCGGGAGACCTCCATGGATGGATAAGGAACTGCTGAGGAAACTTAGAGGGAAAGAAGAAGCTTACAGAAGGTGGAAGTGAGGACAGGCAGCCTGGGAAGATTACAGGAACATTGTCTGGGAAGCCAGGGATCAGGTCAGGAAAGCTAAGGCCCAGTTAGAATTAAATCTGGCAAGGGATGTGAAAGATAACAGGAAAGGCTTCTATAGGTATGTAGCAAATAAAAGACAGACTAGGGACAATGTGGGCCCTCTCCAGAAGCTATTGGGAGAACTGGCTACCCTGGATTTGGAGAAGGCTGAGGTTCTTAATGACTTCTTTGTCTCTGTCTTCACTAGCAAATGCTCAGACCACACCACCCAAGTCTTGGAAGGCCAACGCAGGGACTGTGAGAATGAAAACCTTAGGCCCACTGTAGGAGAGGATCAGGTTCAAGACCACCTATCCCCAGACAGAGTTCCGTACTCTCCAGCCTATCACTGACATAAATCAGTGAACATTTACTTCACAGGTACAAACCTGCAGGATGGTGCTCAGTGCTTCCTTATTACCTTGGAGGATAGCCACAAGAAAGCACTGAAGGTGCTTCTCTCAAAAAAAGAAAAAAATAGCATATGTCTTTGCTTCTACAATTCCAGAAGAATTAAAAAAATTATGACCAAATAGTATTTATGTGAATGTACCCATATGCCCCCATATATATTTCACAGTTTAAAGGTCTCAAAAAAGCACTGTATTTGGAGCATTCAACAGTTTCCTTTAAAGAAACAAACCCATATTCCCAATAGCCAAATCTATTGTTTGACCCATGGAACATCTTTCTTTTATTGACTCTACATACCTTTTTAAATCTCCTGAAAGAAAGTGGCATGCTGTTGCACTGCAAAAGAAAAACCTTCCTAATGGTTATTATACTGTATGAACAGAAACACTGGTGTTATCTAATTTTGTAGGTGTACAGAATCATTTTAACATATAAATAGAATAAGGTAAATGAAATATCCTGATTTAAATTGATGAGCATTTTGGCTTCCATTGAGGCAGACCTGAAGCTAAATATTTATTAATATCTTAAATACCAGAGTCTGAGTAAACTTGATGGTGACCACAAAAATATTATCAGGTAAGAATTAGAGAAGTTTCTTAGTCACAGATTTTGTTGCTTAATTTTATGAAGAAATTTGGGATACAATTTTCTTTGATATTGCAACATTTAGCAGAGAAGGGTCACAGAAAGCTGAAATGTCACTATCACATTTGGGAGTTGGCAACATTTATTGTACTAAATTGAATACTCACGTGATTTTTCAGTGGTGACATTTACCGGGGTGCTAGAGGGCCCTGTCCCTGCAGTGTTGTAAGCTCAAACTGTTGCAAAATAGACTGTGTTAGCTTTTAGTCCTGTGATATTTTTGGCTGTTACATTCTCACTGACTCTAACTTTACCAGCTGTGCTTTCTTTGGCATCATTGGTCCAATATAAAACCTGAAAAGCAAGAACAAAGAACAGCGAATTCATTGTTTTCCATCAATTACAGATTTGTCTGGGAAGCAGACATGCTGACAATGAAGATTTCAAGGAATACAGGATTTTTTTTGTATTCAAAGCTAGCAGGAAATAAAACCAAGTGTGAATAGTTACACAGAAGAAATATAATTTCAAAGACTGAATGCCAATTAAGGAAATAAATGAAATCCTTAACTTTATAGATGTCTAAAAAGAAACCTTTGATAAGGTGAGAAAATTTAAAAGCTTGTTTGGTTTTATGGTTTGAATGCATTTGAAGAAAACTTCAAAAGATACAAAGAAACATTAATCTCAGTCATCTAAGAGATCTTTTTAATTATTTTGTGTCCTGCCTCTGGTTTTGATTCAGGGACAGCTGTTTATACCTGGTGGGGTTTTTTACCTATGAGTAATTGATTTAGCAATGTTTGTGTATAGTACATGACTCCTATTATCTTCATTTATACATTTATAATGACATGACAGAATTTAAAGTATTTCGGATTTGTTTTACTATTGGTTTATCCTATCTACAAAAAACCCTACTGCATAACTAAAACACACAGGAATTATATCTGAGGTTACTTCTAAGTACCCCTGTCATTAATATAAAAATGTGCTCCGCCTTTGTCTGCTGGAGGCACCTCTGGAATCAAGCATGTGTTCTTTTTTAGTAGCCATCATACATGATTAATCTTGAGATTTTAATATACATTACAAAAAGCCCAGGACAGAGGTGCAGTCCTGGTCTGTAAATGTTTGTGAATATCTAAGGTGAAATGTTGCTATTAAGGCTCATGTGAAGAGCTCCATTGTCTGTTGATTTGGAAACAAGGGAGGAAAAACCAGGATACAAATGTGGCCATGAAAGGGATATCTATCTGTAAGGTGTCAGACACCAGCACTGGCTCACCTCATAGCCCAGCACCCTGCCCATGTGCCTGTTCTAAGCAATGGGCTGCCAGGAGACCTCCACCTCTGCCACTGAAACACTCCGTGCTGAAGCCCCTGCTGGTGCTAGCTGTGGCTCTGGGTGATGAGAGAAAACACAGCTGGTGGAACATTTATGTTATGTCAGGAACTGTGGGAGATTCAAGAAAAGAGGAAAAGATTCTGGGGGAAGCAGCTTCTAGAGGCTCAGGAAACCCAGTGTGAGCTGCTAGCTTTACTACCCATTTATTGTGGAGTATGAGCAAAACCTGTTTTCAAAATTGGTCATTACCCATAAGACGGGAAATATTTTCAGACTACTCAGTTGCAGTGAGTAGCTTGAAAAGCTAGACCCTCTGAAAGCTACGCTTTTGAATGTCGCTCAGCTTTTGAATGTCAATTCCCAGCTCACTCAGTGGGAGCTTCCTGGGGACAAAAAAGTTAAAACATGGTGTTGGATGTTGAAAATTTGCGATGTTGAAAATTTGCCCCTTGATTTTTATTTTTTGTTTACTTCCATTTTCCATCTTCTGTCATCTGCCTTGAGCAGGCTGCTTAATATCCCTGTGAAGATCTGTCTGATCACATCTGGGACCTGTTGAATGCTACACAACCATCGCTAATAAGAGTGACATGCATTACCATCTTCTGAGTAGATGATGGATATGGAGCTCAGAGTCCCTTCTCCTTCACTGTTGTAGACACCAAGTTTCACTTCAAAAGGAGAGAGAGGTGTAATGCATTCATTCCTATAAACATACTTGCTTGCTTCCACTGAACCCACCACTGCTTTTGCCCACATTGCTGAGCCAAGAGGACGAAACATAATGATGTATCCAAAACCTTCCCCATTTTGTAGCTCTTCTGGAACTGGCTGAAGTGACAAGGCAGTCAGTCAATAAGTATTTGCAAGTATACACTGTTTTAATTGAATCTTCATTCTCTGACTATATTTTGGAAGTATTGATTTAGTTGACTGTGCCTTAGAGAAGATAATAATGTTTGCTCCATCAGTCAATGTAATATTGAAATAAAAATCAAAATAATAAATCTATTGAGGCAATCAATTTAGAAACAAAAAAGCTGATCAGCACCATTAAAATTATTCTCTTTCAGGCATAGTTTTCAAAATTAAAAGCATTTTACTCAGTACAGGTTGTAGCTGACTTTTTTTTCCCCCAAGGGATATAGGAATGCTAATTTTAAATAAATGATTTTTAAAGAAAAAATAAGAGTTGGCAAAGGATCAAACGTATACACACAACAGTGGTCAGCTGTGTAACTGCCTGCATGTGAGTGCAGCACTTACATATTTTTTTTTAGTCTGAAGTGCAAGAAGATATTCTTACTTAAGTTTGTTTAGACCAGAAATGTTATTGCAAGTCAACATGGCAAAATTAATGTTTCTATTAATAAAATCTCATATCAAGATATGTATTAATGACTCATACTGAACAGGCAATTACATCAACACTGTATCCAGCATGAAATTTTTTGTTTTCATGGGATAAAAATACTTCCCTATTGGCTTCTCAAAGCAAAAGAACATTTATGAAACAAGAAAAGATCAGTAGTACATGGAGGAAGGAAATATTTCTCAAGAAAAGTTCATTTAGTTTAGATCTTCACATCAGAGTAAGGTGCATGAAAAAGCGGATATAAAAAATGGCACAAAAAGAGGGAGAAAAACACAGAGGCAGAAGCGCAGATCCTGTGATCCCTTCTGGCTCCAGTCTCCTCTCCTGCAGAGCCACTCCTGGGAGTGGGGATCACTGATGGTGTGAGACCATGGGAGAGAAAAAAAAAAATCAGGAAGTACATCAGAAGATTTCAGGGTACTTATTTTATTATTTTCTTCAACAATTCCTTCTAATAGTAAGCCTGACCTGGCATAAATAACAAATGTGTCTTTCCTTAGCTGTTTTGCAAACATTAATTCCTCAATATGCCCCCTTCTATCTCTTTTCCAGTCCTGAGAGAGTTAAACGTGAGGAATGATGGTTCACTGGGGATTTATAAGAGTTCAAGCTACTTTCTGGAGCATTTAATTTGTTTTTGAGGCTTCTGTGACCTCAGATTTAATCAAGATGTTTAGTGAGTTCATCACAGAAAGATGGAGAGCTGTGTTCAGTATTGTTAGCTTGGCATAATTAGTATTTCTTCCGGCTATTTTTCAGGACACACTATGGAGTCCAACAGGATAATTTGATTGAAATGTCTCAGGTTGTTTTCAATTTTCATGTTCTTCTGCTACCAAAGAGTAGATGAGTAGAGGAGAAAATAAAGCAAAAGAGTGAAGGATACTATGGAGGAAAACTTAGTTCAGTAAAGGTGAAGTTTCACTCTGTTTGGAGCATGGACAGTGGGAAGCATTGGCAATAGTATTTATCTAGTGGGGATACTTTTTTTTCTCTGTTCTTTATCCTGTCACTTCCCTTCCTCCCCCAAAAGGCTGGTTAAATGGCATAGGTTTTTAGCATACAGGAGAACACAGGGAACTCACTCAGCTGATGAATAACATCACTTTTAGTTTAATTTAGTGCCTTTTCCTTTCCTTCAATACATAAGCCTGGTTGTTTCTTTGGAAAAATAATGAAGTTGAGAGAGAGAGAGTAGACTGCTTTTCTTGCTTAAGCTGACCTAGAAGTCTTTTTCTCTTTCTGAACAGAGGGCGTCTTGTGCATCCTTTGAGACAGATACATGTAATAGTAAGATATGTGGCCAGGCTGCCTGGCTCCTTCCCTCCAGGCTGGGTGCTGCTAACAGCATGAAGTAGCTCCTATTTTAGTTAGATGTCCTCAAAGCCAGCAGAGAGAGTTAATTAGGTGAATCACATTAACTTCGTGTATACTTTTCAGGGGTAATAAAAAAACAGACGGTAGGAGATGTGTTTTGGGGAGTTTTTCCATAGGGCCTTGAGTCCTGACTAAGCGTTTGCCCCATCCCTTCACGGGCTTTGCAAGAGGCTGCCTGCCTTCATCAGGATGCCTTCAGGGAGGCTACTGGGAGGCTGGAGAAGGGGGGTTCCTTCCCACAACACTTACTTTCTACTCTCTGGAATGACCTGTGTTCACCCATTGCAACTTATAGCATGGTATTAACTGTTCTAAAAATGTATATTCTCTCCTCTCACTGGAGTGCTCGAGAATTAAAGGGCTCATCTCCTTTAACGCATAATAGGATATGTCTTGTCGGCATAGTGTTCCAGAATGAAAAACATGTAAACAAAAGTATGAAAAATGTTAATGCAGAAAATGGCCAAGCAGATTAGTGTGTTAAGCACCTCCTGTACAATGAAGATAAGAGGGTTATATAGACTTCTAAACGTCTTTATAACATGCCTCTTAAACTGTTTATTTTTATAAATTGTTCAGTATAACACAGAAAACTTGCTGTATATCTTACAGGCTGTTTTCTCTTCAGATGCAGAATGAAATCCAGGCTCAGCCCAAGCCAATGACCCAAAGCCTTTGGATTTCGGCAGGGCTGTGATTTCACCCATGGGCCCTTCCCCCTATAGAGAAGGACTTAGATTAATTGAACTAACAATTACCTCCCATGTGATGATCAGCTCAGAACAGCCTCCTCCTCCTCCGCTGTTTGTTGGTGCTACAACAGGAACTGGAGAAGAAAATACGTTGGTTCTTGCAGCTAGCCACAACTACTGCTATGGGTCTTGTCAACTGGATGCTAAGAGCTTTGCCTAGCTCACATGCAGCTATTCTGCCTTTCAACACGTAGAACAGGTACTATACTGTATAACAGTACATTTTAAATGAACTGAAATCATGTTTACACACTTCCAAGTTTATAAGGCTGAAGCCACAGATGTATTTGATACATGAGTTCCCTGGTTCAAAAAATTAATTAAAGAAGCTACTAGCATCAAGTATCTGACATTATTATGCCTCATCAACTAATTGGCAAAATGATGTTCCATTCAGACTGTAGCTGCAACACTACTGATTTACTAATTATGCATTTGTTCAGTAAACATGTTGTTGGAACAATATATTAATATTTTTTTTTAATTGGCTGTATGCTTTTCTTAGGAAATTCAAAACTTGTAGTTTGCTTTTCTCCTTCTCCAAGACTGCAAGTGCCCAAAAGTTCATTGATTAGAGCTTGATTTCCCCAGCACTGCCCAAGGTCTATGGCGCATTGGGTACAAGGCTGAGGTCAGGCAACATGCTAGTGTCCCAGGCTGAAGGGGCTTCTCATCATTCAAATGACTCTTGGCAGAGACAAAGAAAATAGTAGCATTTCTTGCCTTTTGCTTTATATTTCCATAAACATGCTGACTGAGCAGGAACCCCTATAAGAGGTCATTTATAGTCTTCTGCATCTCCAAATCCTTGGTACTATTTTTAGAAATTTCAGGATTGTCTTATTGTTCCCTTCATTCAGCTCTCACTGTCTGAAAATTGGATGTGTGGAGATAGGGCTGAAGACAGGGTAGAAATTGGTGTGATGGTTTCATCTTGGAAGCTTGTTCAAAGATTTTGCAAGTTTTACAATGTCCGCCTGTCCTTCCCCATTCATCCACCTTGCATTAGCCTAGCTGCAGGAGTGTCAATAAAGGCAATAGCCCTTTCAGTTCATGGAATTTATGTCAACCACTATAAGTTCTAGATTGCAGTATACGTATATGTCTTCATCTGATTTCATCCTCTCTAGAAATGTAGAAATTTCACAATTATTTTGTTGTGTAGTCATAAAAGTGAGTGCAGGTGCAAACAGACTAGGCTATTTTGGAGAGTTCTGCATAAGTATTCCATTTTGCCACTCACAATCAGTCTCACACACATCAGAGATAAATAAGACTGAAAGAACCATGTTAAAGGAAAAAAATGCCAAAACAGACCTTCAATCTAGTGTTTCACTGTTTCATGAACCAGTTGATGCTCAATTAGTTCATGTGTTAAATGTGTTTAGTACTTACCACATTTGCATTGGGAAAAAATTAGTACTACTGCTCAGCAGAGCCTCAACTGGGTCATAGTTGAGAAACAGATGAAAATTTACAGCTGAGTGCATTAACAGAGGCTCAATTAATTCTCAGCTCCATTTTAATGAAATGAACAGTGGCTCATTTGCATCCACAAATCTACTAATGCTCAGATTTTAGCTGGCTAAATAGCTATTATAACAGCAAAGTTCAAATTCACCCTTTCACAGCCAGACTTTTGCTGTCCACACTGATTAAAACAACAACCAAAGAAAAGATGTTACTTCTGCCACTGCAGAACAACGTTTTGAGACAGATTTAGAGCAGTGCAGGGGTTAAGCAACTGAAACCTGGAGTCCGTCTATTCCTTTTGTTAAGCTTCAGACAATGCTACACTTATGCTATTGCTGTGATAAATAATATTAATTTTATTGTTTCTTTTTCTTACTAGGCCTAGCCTTATGAATCTTTCTAACAGTAAAAAACCCACTCCCACTTTAAAAGATGAAAGCTTTTACTGACTATATAGGTGGTTTTGAACATCACTTTACAAAGCCCCACAGTGGCAACAGCAAGAAAGACCTTCTGGAGTAATTTTGACTTCTTGATCAATCATGAAATTCAGCACTTATATCTGTGATACTCTGCTGGGAAATTTAGAAAATCTGGACTCTTCCTGTCTCCAGCTTTTCTTTAGCCTTCCCTTTTCACATTGCTCTTTACTCTTTGCATGTGAATGTTTCCTAGTGTTTTCCTGCTGGAGGAAGGGGTCATGTACCACTAAGGCATGCATCCCAGAGACACGCAAGCCCAGGCAGGATCAGTGCATCTTTCCATAACAGAGGATCTCAAGCTGTTCCCTTCACTTGGGAGCAGCCTGCAATCTGCTTTACTACCACACCAGCCAGGCAGTTCTTACTGCTGATAAGATTCACTTGGTGTCTCTCTGCAACTGGAAAGCTGGCAAAAATCTATTAAGATTGGTGTTCTAACAATAAAATAGTTTTTTCTGGCATTACCATGCAGTATAAGTTTTTGCTTCAACAACAGGAAAAAGAATTTGTTAAATTTAAATCAACTGATTTAATACATTTTGAAGTAACTCTGCCTTGGGAAAAATACTGTAGGTATTCTGAGAAAAAAATGGATCCCCCTTTCTAAGGATATATGTGTTTCTACTGTAAAATGTACAATACTTTATTTTGAGTTCTGTCTTGAAATGCAGCTTGTCAAACTTCAGAGCTTGGCAAATGAGATAAACAGAGAAGAGAAAGTGGATTGTAAAAGCTGTTTCCATTTTACTGCTTTCTGTCCTATAAGTACTGATTTTATAGGTAGGAGCGAGTTGATAAGTAGAGGGCTGGGAAAAACATAAAACAAACCAAAGGTTTGGACTTCAAATAAATTGTACCAAACTGAGCAGGTCAAAGGACTGACAGTCTCGGTCATCCAAGAATGAGTCTTCTTCCTATGAGGTTCCAAGTTCCAGAGATAGACGTGTAAAGGTTAGACAGACAGAAAGGATCCTGCCCTGGAGACAGTGGAAGTTATTAGTTTCACTGGGGTTTGGATGCTGTAATTTATTTCCTCCAGTTAAAGCCAATATCCTGTCCCTACTGATGCTCAGGTATCAAACATCCTCTGCAGCAAAGGCTTTACATGTTTGTGCTAGGATATGCCAGAGAGCTGGCTTTATCATTTTCTATGCAAGTTCCTGAGCAGGGTATAAAAGCAGTTATAATTGGAAGAAAACAAATGTTGCTTCCCCATTGCTTGAAGGAATTATTGTGTACAGGCATGTGGATTAGATATATTTTGGGACATAACGAAAGGAAGAAGCATGGGGCAACTCCAGCCTTTATTGGTGACCCAAAAGATCTTCAAACCAGAGAGCAAAGCATATGGTACCACAATCATGTCCAAGCATCTCTTGCATTGGTGGTGCAGGTCTGCTGTCATGAAGCCATAGCAGCCACAGAATTAAAATGCCAGACACATATGTAAGTAACCCTGTAGGAGTGAGTGGCTCTGCTGCAGTAAATTCTCACACCCTGGAGGAGCCAACGTGTCTGCATGGAAAAAACTGACAGAAACTGGGGACTTACCTGCTGATTTAGTTTCCAGTACAGCTGATGATCTGCTTGGCTCCTCAATTCCAATACTGTTGCTGGCAACCACATGAAACTTGTACTCAACCCAAGGGCTTAATTCAACCACTGTTGCCTTGTGAGTCTTACCACTAATGACTTCAGGAACTAAAGGCAAAATAAATATGTTGGTGACTATGTATTTTTGAAATAATTAATGATATATGCAAGTTAATGTTATATGAAAAAAACTGAAAACAACTCTCAAATTGCTCACCTGTTGAAACTACCTGCCATCCAACTGAGAAAGGAGTCCTCATCTGAACACTGTAGACTATTACTATCTATTCCAGACTTCCAGGATAACACAGCAGTAGTGCTAGAAATATGTTCAACTTTAACATCTTCTGGTGGACCTGCGGAGCCTAATATGATTACCATTTTAAGATAAATAGAAGATTTGCTGCTGGAATGTGTTGGGCAATTCTTACTTTCTCAAGTCAGTGAAATTATTAATGAAGCTGCAGTTTCGTAACAACAGCACAATGTGTAAATGATGGCTTCATGCCTGTATTAAATTTTTCTAATTAACGAGGGGGTTTGAGTCAGGAAAATGTATGTCTTTATGTCACTAAAGGGAATGATTTTTTTTCTGACAAAGTTACTCAATGTGCCTTTTCCTGAGCCATCCAACATTTTCAGAATTCCTATTGCATCTAATCAAAACTGAGGTTTAGAAAGAATGCAAGGTGGGACATTATGCAGATTTCTGATTTCTGCTAGGATTTAGGGGATCTGCTTCCATCACAGCATTTCTCTTGCTGCTGGCAGCAACAGAAGATTAGTTAGTTGACCATGGAGAATTTTTCATACTATCTCCAAACAGGAAAGGGAAGCAGTTCTCTTGCTTGTTTTTTTCCCAGCCTGCACAGTGACCCTGAGATGACAAGTAAGGAGCAAAAGACAGCAGTCTGCTGAAAGTAGAGGACTTCCCCATGCCCTACCATATTGACCTGTGTGGCCAGAAGAGTTTACCTTCCGAAGATGCCACGGGAAAATTGCACAGATCTCCCTGGATTAGCTGCATGCTAGATCATGCTGGCCACAATCTCAATCCGATTCTGGGGCCAAAAGTACAATATATATAGCATTTCACTATTGAAATGTTGAACTGATATCCTAGGAATCATTTAAACAACAGCTGACAATAAGAATTTCTAATTCCTCCAGAAGATATATGAGTTTACATTTAACAGACATACTTCTTACAATTATATCTATTGTTGCAGATTGACTGTCTAAAGTTGTTTGTACCATGCACACATATTTCCCAGAATGATGTAGCTGAATATTTCTTATCATCAAATCCCTAACAGATTCCTGGAAATACAAAAAAAGTAAACTAATCACTCACAACATGGTTTCCATACAGGACATTTTTATAAATTGCTCCATATTAATAAAAAATTCAGCTTTTAAATTAAAATATTCATAGCTATCATCAGTTTCTTTCACGTGGACATTTTTATTATGGCTTCACAAATAACTCAAGGGCCTTTATGAAATTTAAGAAAGAAAAATAAATGGCTGCAGCTCTTATAAAGAAACAGTGATTCACCATGCATATAAATAGCGATGAAAGTATTATGATAAATATTTGTCGTCTAAAGACTGTGGCAAAAAATTTCATTAAGCACTAAGGAGTTTAAGAAACCTACTCTTCCAATTCTTTCAAAATGATGCAGTCCTCTATTAAAATCAATTCTACTGCCATTGAATGACCATATGAACACCACATCAACAGAGGGGTCATGAGACACCTGGCGTGGAAGGACTACGTTTTCTCCAACTGTTACATCTGTACTAGAAGGTGGAATAATAATGAGAGTCCTTTCTGCAGAGACAAAAAACCAAATCCTTTTTATTAAAATGCATATAAAAATAGTAGACCTTGAATGAGTTTTGTACCATTTGTGAAACGATTTAAAATTGGCCAAAATGTTCCATAATAAAGAAAATTATTTCTAATATGGTGATGATTTCAGAACACTTACCTGCGTGTAGCCTATTACTTTTCCAGTGTCAATGCATTGAGCACACTGTGTGCCTCTCAGAGAGAGCAGATGTCACAGGCAACCTGCTAAATTAGTCATGTGTTACTTTGTAAAGCCTATAGTCAACAGATATGATTTCAGCTGAAAAAGTGCAGACTTCATTACCAAGACTGTTGAAAATATTCCCTCGGTTCTTCAAACTTGAAAATCGCTCCTTACAGGAAACTGCAGCAACAGCAAAATCACTGTTCATCTCTGCTTACTTTATACATTGAGATCCTTAATCTATATTAATGCTAGTGGTAGTTTACTGCACAATGCTGTTTACGTTACAGCTTCAGAGAAGATATCTTCACAGACAGAAAAACTATTTATGTAATCTCTTTTAACCCCTTACACTGAGAAACGAAATTTCAGCTCTTACTAAGGGAAGCAGTAGCTCACTGAAGGGGAAAGAAATAGGTTTATACAGCTTCACTTTTCTTGAAATGACTGGCAGACGGATTAGAGATAACAACCACTTTGTTGTAAGCAATTCCCTTGAATAACGCTTTTGTGCATGAAAGTGTTACAAAATAGTGAGAATTGAAGACACATCTATAAAATGAGAGCAGTATCCATTCAACAATATTAATATGTTCTGAAAACAATGTGAGAGGAGGAGAAGAAAATTTGCATGAACTGTATTAGCTCAGCATTCTGGCTTAACCCTGTGTTAGAGTGTACTTGAAAATTCAGGATTTTGGTTTTACCAAGGCCTTGATTCCAAAGGAATGATGCGTGTTAGGGCATCCAACCCCTTACATTCAAATACATCTTCATTCAGGCTGTCACCATCATTGCAGTAACTGATTAGTAAGTAGGTACAGACAGGCAATATGGGCTGAAACTTGAACGGCTTCATCCCAGCATCTGAACTGCACTTGGTGAGTGACTGCTATGGTACTGGTCAAGTAGAAACAAGGTAGAACATTGCATTTTCTGCTAACCTTTTAAAATAAAACTAGATCTCACTGGTTTCAGTGGTACACTTTCTGTAGGCATCAAGTAACTTTTTCCAATGAAAACAAAGAAATAACTTGGCTGCATTTTGGTTTTATAAACAGTTTCAGTGGGTTTTTTTCTGGGTATCATTAAATATCAGATTCTCATTGAGTTAGAGCTCAGACATGGAACATGATGTCTCAGATTTCTCTGTGTACTCTTTTCTTCACAGCTATGTATAACTATCATTGTGGCAGCTCCACCAGTTCATCTGAAGTCAAGGACTGCAAAAACATGAAGGCCTCAGATGACTGTCTACAAGGTACTCGATTATTAGGTTAAAGAAATCTGTTCCTTTCCCTGGAAGCAGTGTGTCAGATGCAATAAATTCCAGATGATTCAAGGGCCAAATTCTTTGTTGGCACAACTACACTGATTTCAGCAAACACTGTCAAAGAACTTGGCTCCATAAATCTCAAATGAAGTAATTCTATTGTGAAATACAGGTAACTTTTATAGAATAATTTTGAGAACTACAGAGAACCTCCACAAAGTTTTCTTTTCTTGTTTTTCCTCCTGTAGTTCTTATTCTCCCAGCTGATATAGAACTGCACGAATAACACTTTGAGGACAGAAATTCTATTACTTGCAATAATGCGATATATGTTAAAAATGTTAAAAAGAAATAATACCCTGCTATATGTTAATAATTGGAAAATTGCATTCATGATAGCTGAAACTTCACTTTGCCACTAGCAGGTGGAAAGGCATATTCTTCTGGTTTGATATGGCTCTCCAAGCTCAGCAACTCTTTCTCCAAAGTCATCCTGCAAGACTCTCTCCTACCTTAAACCTATAAACTGCATTCATCTCCACACTGAGCTTTTAAAGCCAACAGAATATGGCATAAAAGAAGCAAAAGTCTTCCCCTAAATACCACGATTGACCTCAAAGTGGAAATTCTACATTGCTCTGAATGTTTATGACACACTTTCTCGCAGGGTTTTGTCTGCTCGCTCCTTAGCTGTTCAGGAGAGATGTCTCAACACATACTCTCTCATAAATGATGCAAAAGGTTATGCCTGATTCACTAGGGGGTGTCAAAGGCTCTGGCAAGTTAGCCTGGGCTGTCCCCAATCTCTTGTAGGCCCTGGGTCTGACCTTTGCAGTGAAGCTGGGAGAACCAGGAGGTAGAAACTGGTCCTCTGAAATCACTGCAAGGGTCTCCTCCACAGCTCCTGTCTCATGTAGAATGTAACTGCCCTGGGAATGGACAGGATTGGCCCTAATGAGACTCGTTTACCATCATAGAATCATAGAATCATAGAATAGTTAGGGTTGGAAAGGACCTTAAGATCATCTAGTTCCAACCCCCCTGCCATGAGCAGGGACACCACACACTAAACTATGTCTCCCAAGGCTCTGTCCAGCCTGGCCTTGAACACTGCCAGTGATGGCCCATTCACAACTTCCTTGGGCAACCCATTCCAGTGCCTCACCACCCTCACTGTGAAGAGCTTCTTCCTCATATCTAATCTAAACTTCCCCTGTTTAAGTTTAAACCCATTCCCCCTTGTCCTACCACTACAGTTCCTAATGAAGAGTCCCTCCCCAGCATCCTTGTAGGCCCCCTTCAGATACTGGAAGGCTTCTAGGCGGTCACCACGCAGCCTTCTCTTCTCCAGGCTGAACAGCCCCAACTTTCTCAGCCTGTCTTCATACGGGAGGTGCTCCAGCCCCCTTATCATCCTTGTGGCCCTCCTCTGGACTTGCTCCAGCAGCTCCATGTCCTTGTTATGTTGAGGACACCAGAACTGTACACAATACTCCAAGTGAGGGCTCACGAGAGCAGAGTAGAGGGGCAGGATCACCTCCTTTGACCTGCTTCTCATGCGTCTTTTGATACAGCCCAGGATACAGTTGGCTTGTCAATCAATTAGATGGGCAACAGCATGTTTCCTGAGCCTCCCGCTGGTAAGCTCAGTATTTGGACATGAGTAAACAGTGGTTACAGGGTTCAGCTTCCCAGCCCTCTCAGGTAGACCCCAAAGCCTGATATGAGCTCCTTGCTGCCAGGTATAGACTGCTGCTGGTATTTTATCTGTCTTGCTTAAAAGCTGATTTGAGTGTATCTGTTTTGCATTGCTCTGATAACAGCCCTTTGAACAGGGTATTCTCCTTAAACTTCAAATAGAGGCACTTATACCAAGGATGAAATTCAGGATTTCTTCTTTAGTTGATACAGCATCAATAAAACTTTCTGCTACTACTGAATTGTCCCTGTCTCAAGTTCTCCCTGTCCTTCAAATTTCTCTTTAAAATATCTACCCTTCATAAGACCCACATCACCTCTACTGCCACAAGACGTAATGTCACCTAATTTTGTAACTCCTGCTTCTTTGTATTGGGTGGCTGGTCACTAGGATTGGTGCATTTTGACTCTTCTACAATGCACTGTGTACAATTACAGCATTCTATAAATAAGTAAAATACTATAAATAAAATCAATTTATTTCTATGGAAAGGTCGAAGTAAGACTAAGCAAGAATGATACAAACAGTATTGCATGGAATTTGTAATCAGATTCAATAATTACATTCTAAAATCCATAGAATACAAATAGGAAATTATGTCCTGGTTTTTGAAAAATCTTTAAACCTCCACCAAAGCCAGTTGTCAAGGAGTAATGGGTTTGAACTTAAACAGGGGAATTTCAGGTTAGATATATGGAAAAAGTTCTTTACTGTGAGGGTGGTGAGGCACTGGAAGAGGTTGTCCAAAGAAGTGGTAAATGTCCCATCCCTGGCAGTATTCAAGGCCAGGTTGGACAGAGCCTTGTCCAACATTGTCTAGGGTGAGGTGTCGGTCAGGGGTGTGGAACTAGATGATCTTAAAGTCCTTTCCAACCCAAACCATTCTATGATTCTATGATTCTATATTTTTATTGTACAGGAAGGGGCCATTAGCTCCAGCTGGCTGTAATAAAACTGGCTGGGAATTTTTTGAACAACTTCTTCATCAGATCATTTCAATAATAATATGATTGCCTCATTAGGTCTGTCATGTAATTTCTTGTGTCATTTTTTGATCACACATGCAAAAAGATCAGAAGTGAGACATCTGCAATCCTGTTATAAGAGGTTATTGGAAGGAATAAAAATTCCAGACATCATTTATCTGTTAAATCCAATTGAATGCCCCTTCAGGGAAAAAATAAATGTTAAAAAAAAAAGCATTCTATGGAACCCTCAAGTGAACTGACATTTTTTAATATCAGAACATGAAGGTTTCTTCTTATAACACAACAAATCCCAATATCTATATCCCATTAGTATTCTAAGAAGTCTACTTATTGGCATGAACCTATCTGCTTCCACCAAATAAATATTGAATACTGTCCTTTAGTGAATTATACTGGGTTTGTGTGTGAGTTGTTGGGGGTTTTTTAGTAGTATTAGCAAAAAATCCATTTTATTATGATTTTATTATCCTTTCCTTTTTCTTGTTCTCGCCTGCTCATATCCAGTGATAACACTGACACAGAGTGGTTCACTTGTGCAATATTTTCTGCTTCTTTTATGGGGTTGTCTTTAAGACTTCCACCTCAAATACTTCTAAAAGCTTTTAAAAGCTCTTGGTGCTACATTATCTATCTATCTTGCTTAGCAACTGCAGACATGCAAGACATGGCAAATCCCATTCCAGAGGAGAAAATACATAAGATGTTGTGAGTGCTGGAGGTATAATAGAGACTTCTCACACAAAGAATAAACAACTCAATGAGCAGCAATAAACTTAATTTGCACATTAGATATGCTTTTCCAAGATCTGACATTTCAGTTGAAAATAATGCTGAAGCAATGAGGCCTATAATTGAACAGCCAAAACTTCTCCAGAGGGGAAACAAAAACAAATGTTCCCTGCAAACAAGATCATTTTTATACCATGTTGTTACTCAGTGTTTTAATAAACTTCATAAATGCCAAGCAAAATATTTTTTCATGTTTTAATGCAATTTTCCCATATTGCTCCATTAGGATGTATGTATGTGATATGTGAAATGGTATATAACCTTAATGAAGTCAGAGCTGCCTAAACCCTAAATCTCTTGGTTTATTCATTGCTAGCTGTGCTGTAACATCATCTCAGATTACATGTTGCACTGCATCAATGCTAATTGCTCTTTCATACTATGAGTATGAAAAAGATTTTTGCCAGATGCAGTAGGTTAAGGAGGAGGTCATGTCTGTGGGCTACAGCAACCATTCTGAAGTCAGTGGAAAGAAGAATATTAAGAAAAAAGGGATAGTTACAAATTACATTTAATAATGTGCTCTTCTTGTAACTACAGACATTATTAGCTGTTTTGCAAAACCGATTAATATGCTTACTATAAGCTCAGAAGTTCCACTCTTTAACTTCTTCTCACTTAAAATCAACAAATATGAATGCTTTTATAAGCAAATGTCTGTACTGAAAAGATCATGTGGGAGCAAATAGAAAAAAAACATAGTAAGTGTGCCTCAGTGATCAAAGATCAGAGCATAGTAATTTCATATGCTGCTCATAGGAACTTCTATACAAAAAACGATCTTTTTTCATGTCCTCCAGCTCTGGACTACTCCATCTGAGCAATAAGTTTCTACAAATTCTTTTTACTCATGGAGATAGACCATCCATCAGCACAGCAAAAATTCGAAGCAAAGGATTGCTTTGGACATAACATACTGTAATGTGTTCCACAATGTATTTAAGTGTGTTTCAAAGAAGGGTGAAAAATACTGCAGGGGAGACATTGCCCTGCAGAGCATCACTGGACTGGGACCAGAGCCAGAGTGGGTTGTCACACCACAAGCTCAAACCCAGCATAGACAAAGCTGCAGGTTTGGAGGAAAGGAGGATTACAGCAGATGTGACCATTTAATCTGATGTGCCTCCTAGCCCATAACTTGGTTTTCTGGATGTTTAAACTGATAATCGCAGGATGGCTGTTCGGGAAGTTATTTATACATTTCCAACTAATGCATCGCAACATCTCCAAATAAAATTCTTCACCTCACCAAAGTGGTCTGAAGATCTGACTTAGTTGTTGAACTTGTCTGTGCCACCCAGTTCTCACAGCCATGAATTCATACAAGTCCACTCCAGATGGAGAAGACCTGAGACCAGTGAGGGCATGTAATGAAGACAGAGGGGGAAAGGACAGAAGAAGGTAGCTTGGCTTTCCAGTCCTAAGACTTTTTTCTGGTTTATATGCAAGTGCTACAAAATGTGACTGGTAGACAATTACCTGCACTTAGAGCCTTAATCAAAAACAAGGGGAGGAAAAAAAGGAAAAATAGAAGAAAGCATGACTGGCATTGGAGCTGGAAGTATTGTGCAGCCAGGTCAGTCCTTGCCTACATCCATAAAAAGTTTGGGAAACATCGTGCGTATCTATGTAGCCTCACTTTGGCACATCTCATTGGATTCCACCAGTCATTATGTCTTAGAAGACAGAGCACTTGGCTTGTTATAATGATCCTGATAGGACAAGTTCATAGTAATGACTCTCAAAGAGGCAAGTCACTTTCTTTTTAAGGAGACAATTAAAATTTTATCTCATAAACATAATGGAGAAGAAAGTAATGGAAATGTGAGAGAAGGTTGTTCCTCATTCCCCCTTCAGGAAAAAAACCCCAACAACCCGTTTAGTTACACTAATCTGTAGTTAAGAGTTGAAATGGTTTCATTAGACCAAAATATAATGTAAGAAAAGATAAGCAAAAAATCAAATGCTTTCAGATAAACAGGTGTCCTGTAAATGAGGTGTCTTAGTACTAACATCCAGGAAAACAAACTAGTCTGAAAGTATAGAAAGTATAACAGAACCAATTGTTTTATTATTCATGCAGCAATATGACTGGGAGATGGCTGTGGAAGATGGCCATTTAAATATGCAGAATTAAAAGCCCTGACAAGAGCCAAACAAGAGTTTTTGCTTAGCTCTGATTTGTTTTGGAGTTATTTACCAAAGTAGTGTACAGCAGATGGGGTACAAGGAAGGAGTGGGTGGCTTCAGAATCTACAGGAATGCAACTTGTGCAACATGTATCTCTCCTATGATAACGAATATAAACCCACCTGGTTTTCAGATTACTTCATAACATCCTATTTCTTTTTGGCACCCAAGCTTTAAAGTCTCTTGTGCAGTCTCAGATGCGATATAAATGGTAAACGAGCCGAATAAACTTATCCAAGCACACTGCACAGGGTACACTGAACCTCCACATTGCCTCAGTGTCATATCGAACTCTGGCCTGCAACGGTTCAGCCCATGCCTGCAGTGTCTAGACGATGGTACTGTGGTGAAAATATCATTATTGATGTTACCTCCTGTTTCTGTGGGTATCTTAGGAGACCTCCATGATACACAAATTGATCATCAGAATGGGGTGGTCATGAGGTTTTCTTTGCTGCAGGCAGTGGTGAGCTCAGTTTCAGCTTTAAACTGCAAGCAAAAACCTGTCAATACTAGCACTGATCGGCACAGACTTGGGCATCCTAATGAAAAAAAGCACTTAGCTTTTAATATTCATAAAGAACAAAAAAAAACCCCAAAACCTAAAGTACCTTTCACAATCAGGTTCCCTGAATTTCTGGCAACTCCAAACTGATTTGTTGCTATACAGGTGTATACCCCGGCATCTGATTTGGCGATGTTATAGAGCTTGAGACTGCCATCCTCCAGTAAGATGACCCTGGGGAACAAAACAAAATAGAAGAAAAAAACACTTCTGTTACAGGACCTATAATAGAAATGCAGTGCTACTTTTAATATTTAAATTCTTCTATTATACTTTTTGTCTTCCACAGCAAGCTGAATATGTATCAACCGATTTTCACCTCTGCTTATTATTGATTTCTGTATCAAGAATGTTATATTGACAAACTGGAGCTGACTGTTAACTTGTCTAGCTGACTTTCTTGCAGCAAAATTTGGAGTCTCAAGAGAAAGAAGGAAGACCCAAGTTGTTACCTAATTGTGCTATATTTTACCATGGGTTTTTTTTTATTTCAGATCCCAATGCTCCCATGCCATACTAATATTGTGCCTGAGCCCAGCTGCTTCTGCAATTTTGTCAGGGTTATTAAAAGATACTAGCAGGCTAGCTGAGATGTTGAAATGCCATCTCCAAGCCAAGAAGCCAAATCAAATACATCGCTGTTTCATGGGGCCTTCAAATCACCTTATTAGTCACTATGTTGTTTACAACAATTTGCAGAGTATTGGGTAAATTGCATTTAATAGTAATTTCAGGACCACTCCTGGGTTTTATGGACAAAATTAATTTCTAAGCTTGTTCATATGATTCTTCATGTCAATGAGATACTTTAGGATGTAAATCAGTACATTGCTCAGTTTCCCTTAGGTAACTTTTCACTGCATGCCTGGCACCTCTTGGCTTTTACATACAAGGAGATCAGCTCAGGGTCTTGGGATTTTCTTCACAAATATACAGAACATGTATATGACAAAGGTAAGGATTTTAAAATTGAAAGCTGGATTAGGTAAGCAATGAACTTTAGGACAGAAAATGATGTTTTATTAGTTTTGGTCCGTTCTTCTATCCACCTGTTGCACCTGGTAGATGTTGAAGTTTTTGACCAAATTTTTCTGAGTTTAGTAGGACAGTGGGCTGAAAAACATGAAGTTCTTGTAAGCTGCATGAAAATGGGGTCAGGGTCTCTATGTACAGCCCCTCTTGCCAGTAAGGCCACTGCATGAGCACTCTCCTTAATAGGCATCAGAGAATCTGCACCCAAACAGGGAAGAGCTGCACTCAGATGTCACACTTTCTTATATCTGACAAAATACAGCTGTACATCAGAAATTCACAGGAATCCAGGCTTCATTCATTCTAGTGCTCTCATAAGCACTGCATTATTTTTTTATATTCCTCTTTTAATTGACATTTAAATCTAATACAAGAATCCTTTTATAAGAAGAAAATATCTAATTCATGCATCACAGTTTGGGTATTTAATATTTATTACTAACAACATAAGATTGGATGATGTAATGAATTATTAAAGGAAATGAACAATAACAAGAGCAGAAGTTGAAGCTGACAGTAATATCATAACCATTAAACACACAAAAAACATCATAGTGTCTTGCTGCATTCCACTCTGGTATTTATATGCCTGTAGCTATACGTGTAACACACATAAGATCTTGTTCTGCTTCCCGTTACATGCTCCCAGCCTCTCAACTGATGAAGAAAAGTGCTAGACTTGGATTTCTGGGGGTCTTCTCACATCCCCGGAGTTTCATGTCTCCCACTCTTGTCTGACCTTACCCTGACAAAAGATCTGCAGGGTAGGAGTGGATTTAGGAGTGAGAAAAGCTGAGATGTCCTTGTGGTGCTGGGCACTCTGTCACTGGGACATAGAGCTGAGAGGGGAGGGGATTTAGGCTTGAATGAAAAAATCTTTGTTTCCTTGGCAATAATCACCAGGTACTGCAGCAGTTGTTTGCATGCAATTTGTTATATGATGAGAAAAGACATTCAGGTTTAATAATCCATCATATATCCATATTAAACTAGAGAGGAGCAAAATATGAAGCAACAAAGTATGCTCTTCACTATAATGATGTATCAACTAAATGACATTTTTCAGATAAGGAAGGATGAATAATCATGACAGAATTGAGACTCTGCTATATCCATGATGCTGTGCATTAAAAGAGGAGACTATACATGCCTCTCCCTCTTAGTATGGGGACACATTTGATGACAGTGTTTCAAAGGCAGGTTTAAGTATTCAACATTTGCAAGTATTCCACCTGTGCCTCTGCAGTTTTCTTTGCACTAATGATGCGTTTGTTCACATCCATTTGCACCAGCCACAAGAAAAAAACCTCATTAGAATCTGCTGGAGACAAAATAGTTGATCCAATTGACTGGTTGGCTAACATATGGTGGCTACATCAAAGAGTATCAAAAGACAATCAAGTGTGAGTCAGCAAATGTTCATAAGTTGGATACCTGAGTAATAGGTTATAACAAGTTGCTGTAGTGTCTTTCTCAACATCAAATATTGATGCCCTGTTTTTTTTACTGCAGTTGCACCTAAGAGATCTAGGTACAAATTGGAATCCGGAAGTGGGCATGAAGCAAGAAAAAGACAGTCCCAGTCCCCTAAAGCTTCCAGTGTACGTAAATACACAGGAAAAAAAGAATATGAAAATCAAATTATTAAAGGGGAGAATCATGGAATGCACATGCTCTGTGCTTAGCCCCCCATGGATTTCTGGCTAGGGCTTTTCCACTGAAGTTTAGTAGTGTCTTGCTCAGATGTTTTTCCCTCTATTATACTTCATTAGGAATTGAAACCTGAATAATTCCCAGATTCCTCGTCTATCCACTAGGAGGAGTTTGTACCCACTCAAGAGCTGACGAGGTGATGTTTGATTTAAAGAAATGCTGTTCTGAAACACTATTTCAATGGCTGGACAGGAATGGCTCTTTCAGTGGATCAAAATGGACCTTAGCAAAGAGATACCATGAGTTAATAAAAGCTTCAGAGTTGTTTGAAACAGAGGTCACACTACCTAAAGACAATTAGGGAGCTAGCAGTAAATAAGATACTCAGGCTGAATTTATGTAAAAGCACAAAGGACTCCAGAGTAATTAGTTAACAGGAAAGGGAATTAAAGGAAAAAAAAAGTGAGCAATTTCCAGCTGTACTGAGGTCTGTGTTAGGAGTGATGAGAAAGCAGAGCACACTAGAAAATCAAGAGGATGCCTTTCAAATGTAAGAAAAAAACCCCAATGTGATATATCCACCCAGCTGCCATGAACAACAAAGTTGCCATAAACTTCCCAAGAGTCATGACTTTATACCATGGGTTGGTTCAGAGGGGCTGCACTTTATCCTCATCCGTTTGTATTTCAAATAATGGAACTAGGATTCTGAAGGCAATAGAAACATTTCCTTTAATGGGCTTTGGATCAATCTCTAACAAATGTATTACAAAGAAGCTGTGAAACTCTTCTCACCTGCTGAAAGTCTTTCTGAAAACTGCTACTTTTTGCAACATTTTAGACTGCATGAAGGCTACAGATAATAATTCGTAGCATTTGCATCAGAAGACGTGGTAATTCCAAATACTGAGGCAAGACGGGAAAGTTTATCTTGTTCAGTATGATGCAGGTAGAATATTTTGTCTGCCAGGAAAACTGGACTTCTCTCAGTAAGTAAGTGCCTGTTGAGGGACAAAAATCAAAAGATCTGAGGCAAATCTGCTAAATGCATCCCTGCAAAAGAAAGAGGAGAAGGAAGGATGAAATATGCTACTTGGGACACAGCTATTCATAAAGCCCTGATGCAGCAAGGGATTGTTAAGCATAAGCCTAACTCTAAACTGGCATGTCTGACTCACAAAATGCTTAAATTCTTATCAGACTAGTTCTAACACCTATGTTCCTGCCTGAATTACCCAGGTGCTACCTCTGGGTAAACAGCTCAATTAGGCAAAGTTGCTATGACAAAAAGAAAAGATGAAAATCCAGTTACATAAATCCATACAAATTACTACACACCAGAGCTAATTAGAAATACCCAAAAACATTATTCCATATCCAGCAATCCTGGGAATTTACCCTGCAGAAAGATGGATATGTTGGGTGCAGTTCATTCATGTAGATCACAGGAGCATAAGGCAGCTCTTAAAGCCCAGTTCACAAATGTGTCTAGTCAATTTTCCACCTGCAGGATAACCCTGGCAGAGGGTTAGGGCCGGGTACGGATGGAGCAGCAGGAACCATAGCCCTTTCCCAGCACCGAATGACCCAGGATTTGGATCTAGAGATAATGCCTTTCTATATTACATGAAACCTGTCTTCAGGAATTACTTCAAAGACCTTTGAGTCTCTCCCAACCTTTAGTCTCACAAGAGTTTGTGAGAAGTTTTTCTCTGGTTTATTTAAATGACATCCTTTTTTTGTTTTTAATCTATTCATTCCATTGGATTGATTCACATTCTTGTCCCCTCAGAGTGACTCTATTATTACAGAAAGGGAAAACAAGCAACCTATCCCAGGTCTGCTAGAGTCAAAACTCTGCATAACATTCAAAAAGAATAGTTTGCAATGTTTCTGTAGAGGACATTAGACTGGGAAGAAGTGAGAGCTCATTAAAATTGTCACACATACTTTTAAGTAAAGAACTTAAGAAATCAAGCAGGGTTGATAGGTACAGTTTTTAATTAACCAGGCCAAACAAACCATCTCTGAAAGTGTTGTCTCATGTGAACAAAAGAGTGTTGATGGCTATTTGCTTTGATCTTAAGAGCATGAAAGAATAATATGTATTTAACAAGGCTGATAGAAAAATAAGATCTGAGAAAAGAAAGAAGTTCAACTCATTAGATTTTAAGGTCTAACAGAGGTAAAATTTGGGCATTGCTAGACTGTTCAGCCAGTCTGGTTTAGAGGTGTGATTTTGATTCATAGATGCGTATTACATTAACTCAATACAAAAAATGTCTTTGAAATCCCCATCAAAATTGGTTGACCTGTACTGGTGTAAAACTGGGGGCAAACCAAGCTTACTTCTGCAGATTTCAGCACTGCCAGTAGGGTAGCTATCTCTTCAAGGGCACAAAGTAGTTCCTTTCAAAATAAAGTAACCCTGGTACTTAATGTAAAGATTCACTCTTCTGTCTGCCTCTGACATCAAGTGTCTGACACCT